TTCCTGCGAAAGGTCTAGACTTGGAATGAAAATGGTTTCCGTTTCTCTTATATTTAAAATTTTTAAATTATTTTTAAATGTTTACTTATTTATCTATTTATTTATTTATTTATTTTGGCTGCCTTGTGTCTTTGTTGAGGCTGGAGGGAGTTTCTCCTATTTTTAAAATTTTTTAATTAATTTATTTATTTATTGAGGCTACCCTGGGTCTTTGTTGTGGCTGGAGGGCATTTCTCTAATTTTGTTTAATTATTTTAAACAATTTTTTTTATTTAGGCTGTGCTGGGGCTTGTTGTGGCTGGAGGGCTTCTCTTGCAGTGGAATATGGGCTCTCTAGCTGAGCCGCAGAGGCTTAGTTGCCCTGAAGCATGTAGGATCTTAGTTTCCCAACCAGGGATTGAACCCATGTCCTCTGCTTTGCAAAGCAAATTCTCGATCACTGAACCACTGGGGAATTCCCCAGTTTCTCTCTCTGTAAGGAAATAAGACAACCTAAAAGTAATTTTCAAAAACTCTGCCCATCATCTTTACATAAAACTACCTAAAACTGCCTAATTACTGCACTTTTTAATCTGTTAGGCAGGTGTTTATCCATTGAGCATATCCATAGGCCATGCGTGGCAAAGATAGCAGAAGATTTTAGCCTGCATAGAGGCTTTCCGATTAGAGCCCTAGGAGCTGAGCGTTGACGGCTACACTGGCAGACGGGTTTCAGTGAATTCGGTAATGACTTACCTAAATGGGGCACTTCACATAAAAATCTAAAATTGGAGATGCTCTTGGAAATTTGAAAGATCTGGCAACACTGGACCAAAATTCCTTCCTACACACAATGGGTGTGACCCTTCAGACTGAAGGTGCTCCCAGGTCAGCACTCACTGACTGATGACCCATGCATCCTCCCATTTCAGTGCCTGTCCCTAGGAAATATATGCCTGGGACCTCCACCTAATCCAACCAGTTTATGTGACAGATGAAGAAAGCAGGGTCCAGAGAATTTTAAATGACTCACCTCAGGGCACTGGGATAAAAGCAGAGCAGGACCCAGAATTCGGGTCCCCTTCCCAAGACATCCCCCTTCCCTGGAGCTCCAGTTCTGAAAGAAATTGGGTCACATTTGAAGCAGTATCTCAAATGCTATTAGCTCTGAAGTTATTTTAATTATAAATCATTAGTGCAATCTAATGAAGGCATCAAAGCTGATACTGGTATATACCAGAAGGGCTAAGGAGAAGTATAACTAGGTGATATAACATTTTCTGAGGGATTTAAAATATAAGTAATCTATATTTAAAATATTTTTTGTGTGTGTAACAGAGTGGGACAAATAAAAGCTGAATAAAAGTACATCCTAATTGAACTATATTGAATAAATTAGAAATGATACATCCCGGATTTTTTCTTTCAAAATCTAAAAGTTATTTAGGCTAGAGGCATTTCTTATACAAGAATTCTGCCCACCTATCTTTCATGTCATTAATTCAAGGTAATATATATAATGAAGATAATGGGTAATTATTGAGGCCTTCCAAATTCTTTATGACAAGTGATATTATTTTCTCCATTAAGGTACATTTACAGGCCATCTAAAACTGTTTTGTCTACATGGATAGAAGTGTTATAAACATATATAAAATAAAAATATGCTGGCACTAATGACTCTGATGTTAATTTTTTTCGTACTCCCTCAACTCAGAATAGAAATGAGTTTTCCTACATTCATTTTTCTATGTCTGCTTCCCAGGTGGCACAAGTGGTTAAGTGCTCACCTGCCAATGCTGGAGACATAAGAGACATGGGTTCAATCCCTGGGTCAGGAAGATCCTCTGGAGGAGGGCATGGCAACCCACTCCAGTATTTTTGCCTGGAGAATCTCATGGACAGAGGAGTCTGGTAAGCTATGGTCCATAGGGTCACAAAGAGCTGGACACAATTGAAGTAACTTAGCACGCACGCACAATTCATCATCGTAACCCCATCCTGTTTCCCAGGTAACTCAGACTCCATCGCCACTATTTCCAAACACTCGTCACCTTGAAGAGGTTGAAAAGGAAACCAAAATATTTCTCTTTTTCTTTAATTGGCCATTGCTTACAGACTCTTACTTCCTTGACCAGGGCCCCTGGCAGTGAAAGCACCAAGTCCTAACCACTGGATCTCCAGGGAATGCCCAACCAAAATATTCCTTGGAAAACTATGTAATCTTGAAAATGACTCATATTGAAAATATGAGTCATACTGAAAATGACCCCCTCATATCCCCTCTCAAAAAAAGAAAAAAGTAGTAACCAGATGGTGACATGGGGACCACAGACATGACAAGCAGAACAAGCCCCACATTTACAGTTTCACAGAGCTTCCAGCAGAGCCAGTAAAATGAGAGGCTTTACTTCTTTCTCATCTCACTAGCAGCCATCTAAACCTGGGTGCCAGAGAGCGCGTCTAAGACCGTCTAAGCACAATGCTGTTCAGTAATGCTGTAATGCCGTTTGAAACCCCAGTTGCTAAAACTAAACTGACACTTGGCAGAAATCGTCATAACACTTTCCATCACAGCCATCATGGCAGGCAGAAAGAGTGTCTGCAGGGCACGGGGAGTGCTCAGAACAGAACTGTGCATCCCAGGAGGCACTGATGTCTGAGGCCACACAGAGAAGGGTTGAGTGGGAGCTAGCATTTGAAATCTCAGTCAGAAAAATGCCACAGTCTCCATCCTTTTCCCTCATAGGGACCCGAAGTCACTGCTGAGATTCAAAGTACATCCTTCACTCTGCCTTCATTTCTTTCTCTTTTTTTCCTGGCTGTTCTGGGTCTTCGTTGTGTGCAGGCTTTCTCTAGTTGCAGCGAGCTGGGTTACTCTAGTTTCTGTGCCAGGGCTTCTCGATGAGGTGGATTCTCGTGTTGCAGAGCACAGGCTCCGTTGTCCCGAGGCACCTGGGATCTTAGTTCCCTGACCAGGGATTGAACCCATGTCCCCTGCATTGGCAGGTGGATTCTTAACCACTGGACCACCAGGGAAGTCCTGCCTTCATTTCTTAATCAGAGGAAGCAGGAGTGGGTCTACTTCATCTGCTAGAGTGGGTTTTCTCCTTCTCCTCCCCACCACTCTCAGGATGAAGGCAACTCCTTCCCAGCTAGGAGATTCCTTAATTGGCAGAAGAATGACTTTTAAGGCCATGGAAAGGCACTCTTCTCCCCAGAGAGCCCAGATGACTGCCTCTGTTCTGGCAGCATTTCCATTCTAACCGAAAGCCTGTGTCTGCTTCCACACTACCCAGTGCGCAAGTCAAAGGCAACTAAAGGGTTAAACAGATTCCTTGCAAAGAAGACAAGACTCCGGAGCCCTGCAGGTGCGGAATTACAGCCTGCCACCAGCTCACCAGACCTCAGATTCCTGGGCTCTGAGTTAGCAAGGTTTGGCTTTTCTTGCTTTGCCGTTAAAAAAAAAAATAAGAAGAAATTAAATATTCTGTTCTTCCTGTACAGAACTGAGCATGCAGCAAATGTCCTCAGTAAATATCTGTTGAACGGTCAACACTGTTTTATAAGATTTCAGAGTTTTCTCCCACCCTGCAACTCCCAACCAGGATTTGAAGTTTCTAGTCCATAGATGATCAGTTTAGGGCCCAATTATCTGACATAACAGCTAGAGCACTATATCCTCTTATGGGAGCCACACCAAAGCTCTACATCATAATGAAGTCACCTTATCCAAAATCACAAAGACCAAGAATAATGAAGTTATTAAAAAGAAGAAAACTGATGACCAGGCAAAATGAAAATGAGAAAATTTATCTCAGCTAACAGGGAGAAAGGCTAAAGTAGGTAAGACATACAGGAGAACAGTTTGTTCTTTTTTATTTAGTCACAACACATCAGTACAACAGAGGTCAAATCCAGTTCAGTGGAGGTCATTTAAACTATATCTGCTAAAGGAATAGACCTGTAAAATGATGCTTTTATAGCTCAAATCAAATTAAAAAACCAAATAGAAGGCAGCAGAGACCTTTTAAGTTATCTCAACAACCACATTTCCATGCGCCAAAAAGGAGAACACAACATAAAAATTCCCAGTGGAAAGAAAACACGGCAGCTCTGGGAAGAATTAGGTTATGAATTTAACAGGTTCCACTGGACTATTCCATTGACCACTTGCACACCATGATCACTTATCCATGTTAACATCTGTGAACTTGAGATCTGTGAAATTAAAAATTCATTGCATTGCTTGAGGCTGATAAATGCAGACATATTCTATGCAACTGTCATCCGTCCCTTCCCTAGCAACTCCAAACCCAGACCTCTCCTAGCCAAGCCAGAACTGTGAATCCTGGCAGACGGCAGTGACTGGTCATTCAGATTCAGGGCCCCTAATGATTTGTACATTCACCTCACTGCTGTAGGAGGCAGAGAATTAGCTAGTCGTCTTTCTTGGATAAAGCTGATCATCTGATTTGTCAACGCTTTATTCAGAAATATAAAATTCAATACAACCCACCCCCCAAAGAATATCATTTATACAATACCTTACTTGTCAAAATATTAACAAAATAGCATCATGTTAACATTGAGCACAGTGGTTTGGAAAATTAATTTTAAAAAGAGACTGTAACTATACAAGGAGAAGAACAGACCCAAAATACTAAATGTTAAAATCCCCAAAACTTTGGGACAAAAATGGGATCATTCTTAGACAGGTTAACAAAGTAAATTAGGCACAGTACAAACCTATCACCAATTTGTGGGTTTATACTCACTATTTCAATTTAATGTCTGAAACAAAATTTAACAACTAGTTTTTTAAAAAACTGCTAACACATGACATGATTAAAAAAAACATTAAAAAAGAAAAAGTAAACCAACAAACCTTTCGTCTTTCAATAAAGTTTATCTGAAAGTGTACCTTTTTCCTTTTTATTTTACCGATGACTTTAAGGTGATGTTGGCAACAGCCCAGCTCAGCTGGGCTTTCCCCTCCCTCATTCTACAGCATCAGTTCTTTAAAAAGCTCCAATCTCCGTCCCCCACGGTCTATAGGGTTTGCCAAGGTTTGCTGCCTGCGTGGGTGGCGAAGGGCTCAGCGCATTGGGAGACAGTAAGTGGAAGGAGCCGAAAGAGAAGGGGAAGGCCGACAGGGAGGCCACGGAGGACAGCAGGGGTGGAGAGAGTTTGGAGGCGGAGGTGACCACCGGGAGCACAGGTCCAAGGCCGCCGCTAGGGGGCGCTCGCAAAGCGGACGCCTCCGGATGTGCTGTGGCCAACCTGCCCTGGTGGTGGGGTTCCGCGGGCGAGCCCGAGGTGCCAGTGTTCCCGTGGGTGCTCTGGGACAGCAGCAGGGGGTGCGCGACGTGCGGATGATGTCCGAAGGCGCTTCCCCAGGGGATGTGTCCGAGGCCTGCGTGGGCGCCGCTCGCCGCTTCCCGCTGGGAGGCATAGTTGTTCAGATGTGAGACCAGTCGAACTCGAAGAGGGTCCGAGGCATCCAGCCCTTCGATGATGCTCAGGTAACGGGCAACTTCGGCCAGGCATTCCCGAAACCCCAAACTCCGATAGTCCATAGCAAGGGCGTGCGCGTCAAAATAGCCTGAGGAAACGAACAAAAGAAAACCCTCAGAGCTTCGCTCATTTCCCTCATGTCTTCGATCCCAAAGGCAGCCCTTCCTGGCAAATAGCTACATCCTTTAAGGGGGGGGGGGGGCTCTTCTTAAAGTCCAAATATTTGGGAGTCTACCAAAATCTTTGCATTAATCAACATAAGAAGTATGTGTTTGCTAATGCAAGTTCAAAGCCCAATTAGAAACTGCCAAGCAGAAACTGGAATTATACCCTACCGGCAGATGAAACTATGTTCATTCCTTTCATGTTTTCCCTCAACAACAACAAAAAACACATCAAGGACAGAAAAACCACAGAGTAGTGAAATTCATTAGACACACAGATGTAAGTTATCATCACGGAGATTTTAGGCACTTGGTCCAGAGTAAAGCATTTTCCGGCTGGAGACAGACACTCAGAGCCCGGTCCCCCACCTTCCTTGGGGTGTTTCTCTACTTCATCACAACAGGTTTCTTTCCTCAAGAGTCATGTGTGTAAGAATCTTGTATATGAAATTAAGACCATATATTTTAAAAAAAAAACAAAGGCTTTCTCTCCAAAAGGTTAATAAACAAATGTGGTTTGAGCTACCTGACCAGAGCTGTCACAACTTTAGCTGTCACACATAATAGGTATTTTCCTAAAGAAGGTGCATAAGCTTAATTTGCAGAGGGCTGGGGTGATGAATTCACTGGAGAAAACCTTTGTGCACATGAAAGTACACCTACAGGCAACCCCCCACACAACACACCGTTCTCTCTCCACTCCCAAAGCGCGCAATAAAAATAAAGCAGCAACTGCACCAATCCTAGCCATCGGCAGCTGATCACTCTGCCCCCAGACACTCAGACGCCCCACCGGACATGAGACGTACCTTTCCCTCCTGCAGTGTGTAGCATTTTCAGGTGATCTACCGTCATCTGCAGGATCTCGGCTTTTTCTAGCTTGGCAGATCCCTAGAGAAGAGAACAACAACAACAAAAACCTGATTTGGCACCTACTGCCTTTGGGGAACAACTTGAAATACATACGCATAGATGTGCTCTGTAAATCATAAAAGCACAGACAACAGCAAAATAAATTATCTTCGCAAAACATGTTGGAATCTGGATGAATTTATTTCCTTCTCAAAAACGCGGTTATTTTCCAAGGCACGGGTGAGGTTCAGATTAATTAGCCGAAGGATTCTGAAGGCGTGGATAGCTACACAGAGAGTGCCACCTACTTTCTCCATTACCTGCTTCTCAAAAGCACTGGGTACCAGCCTCCTCAGCTCAGACAAGCTGTTATTGATCCGGTCTCGTCGGCGCTTCTCAATAATCTGGAGAAAGCAGGCAAAACAACGGGAGACATTTCCATTACGATGTAAACTCTAAAGTGAAGAAAGGTGGTTCTTCCCGTTAATTAATAAAACAAACAGCCCCCCCCCCTAAAAAAAAGTGTGCACTGTAAAGAGACTCACGCCTCTCCGTCTTTTCCTGGCCAAGATCTGTGAAGATGTAGTTGGGGACATGGAACCTAGAGCTGAACTCAAGTTCCTAAATGAAGAGGAGGAAAAAAAAAAAAAACAGGAATCGCCGTTAAGCGAGAGGAGGTGATCTGAGAGGTCGCCCCCACGCCCTACCCGTACTCAGATTTTTTAGGCAACTGGGGCTTGAAAGCACCTCCGGGTCGTTCACCCGGGGCGGAGGCCTGCCGGAGATGCGCAGAGGTCAGTGCAGGGCGCCGGCGTGCCCCGGGCTCTCATGCGCTGTCACCGAGGCCAGCCGACGCTAGCCTCCCGCCGCCAACTCACCCATTCTCATCCGCACTCTCCTTTTCCACCTCGATGGTCTCGTCCAGCTCGCTATCCGAGGAGCTGTACTCGGGGTGGGCTCGCTTCATGCTGGCTTGAGCGGGGAATCTGGGGGAGGGTCGGCGCGGCGGGCAGGGAGGAGTTAACTGCAGCGGCGCCTCTCCGCGCTCGACTGCTCGCGTTCGGCACACACTGGTCCGGCTCACGCTCTGCCTCCGGTTAAAACTCAACCATCCCTTTCCCACGCTGCGCCCCTTCCCAGGGCCCTGGGGAGGGCGGGGGAGAGAAGGGGGCGGACGAGGGGGCGGAGGGGCGGGGCGGTGGCTCCCGGGCAACAGCCTTCCCTCGGCCAATCCGGCTTCTCGCTCCTCTGATTGGCAGCCTCTCAGGAGAAGGGCGGGGGGCGAGGCTGAGGCCGAGGGCGAAACCCAGGCCCGCCCTCCCCACCCGCCCCTGCCCGGCGGCGGTGTGTCGGCTCCGCAGGGGCTCCACCGGGCCTCCGCTGGGGGGGAAGGAGGCGGCGCGGGCGGCGCAGGGCCGGCGGCGGGCAGGCGGGGTAGGCCGGGCCGGGACACCAGCCCGCCGTCGGCCGCGGCTCCGCCCCGCCCGCGCGCCCCGATTGGCCTGGCCGCACGCCAGGGCCGCGCCTGCAGCGCCGCCGGTGAGCCGCACGCGCCGCGGGCCGTGGGAAAGTGCCGGCGCCGCGGCCGCCAGCCAATCCAGGCGACCGACGGCGGCGACGGCGGCTGCGCTGGCGGCGGCGGCGGCGGCGCTGGGCGTCCGCATGAATGGAGAAGAATGGGCAGGCGGGGGAGCGGGGCCGCGTGAGGGCGCGCCGGCGGGGGCTGGGCGGCCGCGGGCCAGGCCCCCCGTGTGAACCTGTAATCGGAGCCTGGGCGCCGGGCGGCCCCGGAAGCCGCCGCCCTGCGGCCGCGGTAAATCTCGGCTGCCGGGCCGCCGGTGTCCGGCGGCGGGAGGCGCACGCCGCAGGCGAAGCCGGGCCTGAAGCACCTGGCCAGGCGGCGCGTCGAACGCCGGGCGAAGGGTGCGGGGCGCCAGAAGAGCGGCCGCCGGGATGCCGTTCACTGTGGCCACTAGCCCGGGGCCCCGGGCGCTTGCAGGGGAAGATGTGGTTTCGGGGAATGTTCTTTTTCGGGTTTTGGAGCTCTGTCCTCAGTAGCAGACGGACTAGCTTCCGCAGGGGCTTCCCAGCCTCCGGGATGGAATAAATTCCCCTGTGCATCTGGGATCCGGGGAAATGGAGCGCTTGTTTGCTGGGCCGACTGGGGTGGGGGGGGGGCAGGGGTGGGCGGATGGGGGGGGCAGCTGGGGCTATTCTTTTTTTTTTTTTTTCAGGCGTTGGCGGCCAGATCCTGTCAGCGGGCGACAGGGTGGCGGGACTCTGAGCATTTGCGTCTGGGGCCGCCCTCGCTGCTGAGATTCACATCTCTGACAACCACAGACACGCGCCCCCTGCATCTCCCGCCTCGGGGGTGGCGTGGCGAGTACTGGGTACTACGTGTAGTTCCCAGTCCTTAAGGAGATGGATGTTTTACAAATATATATTGTTGTGTCTCGGACTGCTTCCTGATTTGTAGGAGGTTATTCTGAATTTAGGAATCCAGGCATCTCTCTGCCCTGACAAAGGAGCAGAGCAGTACATATTCCTCTGAAGTCCACTCTTGGGGACTGCAGTCCTTCAGTGATGGAACGCCTGATAAATATTGTTGAGCATGACAGAAACATTGTCACCTTTGCAAGTTGCTTGTCCGTTTCTATCCTTCCTTAGTTTATTGATCTCAATGCCTACATTTCAGACGCCACACACTCAGTGGCCTGAGCCTGATATGGATCGGATGTTTCGCAGTCTCTCACCCCCACACGGTAAGCCACTTCCTGACTCTCACTGAACCTCGTATTGCACTAAACCTCTACCACCTCGAGCCCCTCAGTCCTTTCAAGGCTGGGTCCCTCCATCAGCCAACTGGGATTTGTTATTGCTGGCCCACCAGGCACCCTTGTGCCCTGGTATTGCACCGGAGGCTACTTCTCAGTTCTTCTGCTCCACCCCAGCCCCCAACCCCGCGGATAACCCCACTATTTCCTTTCTTAGGTCTTGGCTCAGGTGACAGAGCTCTCTAGGGTCTGCTATAATCACACAAGTTCAGCATCCGCAGCCTTAAATCTAGCAAGTCATTGCTACCGGCCGTTTCCTTCCCAGAACCTGGTGGTCCAGGCATAGGAAACCATCCACCCACTCCCCTCTGCCTTCCAGAAGTTTCTCTGACTTTCAGTTTCTTTCCCTGCCCTAGAAGTCAATGTGTCCACTACCCCGCTGTGGTTCTGCAAATTTTCCCAGCCTCTGGAATCTAAAAGTGAGTCAACCTTTCCTGCCTTGGCCCATTTAGGCCAGTTTGTCGAGTCGTGGGCAAGCTGCAGATAGGTGGGGGAGAGGAAAATACAAAGAGGGGTTGCGTATTCCTCACCCACATTGATACCTAAAGAAAATAATTCTCCCATACTCAGTATTACTTTTCGGTCAAAAGTGAGGTCTGCATTGAAATCATCATTTCCAGTGCTTCTGAGCTTTGACTCTGGCACACTCACCCCCTCTCCCCTGGAGCACAGCTGCCCCAGGCCTAGCCTCTAGGGAAAGGACCTTTTCCAAAACAGTGGGGTTGGAGGAAGGGTGATGGAGTGTTGTTCTTTTATATTTCATGGCTCCTGCAGGACCAGCCTCTTCCAGGTTGCATGCAGGCCCATTTCCTTGCCTGATCTATGGAGTCTGGGTTTAATTAGTTATTTGTGTCCTGCAGGTTGCCTTTCTCTGTGTTTTCTTGGGAAGAGATGCCCTGGAATAGATGGGTACTCCAGATTTGGGAATTCACTCACAGGGCTAGGCTTGAGCCAGGCTTCTTCGGAGGTGAACTCCTGAGACCTCCAGAGGAAAAGAGCTCAGCCTCAAATCACAGCTCTGATATTTCTATATGAAGCAGGCTTAAGTTGAAATGGATGCACACACACTACTGTTTATGACGGATAACAGCAAGGACCTGCTGTGTAGCACGGGGAACTCTGCCAGTGCTCTGTGATAACCTGTGTGAGTGTGTGTGCTCAGTCGCTCAGTCGTGTCCAATTCTTTGCAACCCCATGGACCCCACCAGGCTCCTCTGTTCATGGAATTTCCAAGCAAGAATACTGAAGTGGGTTGCCCTTTCTTTCTCTAGAGGATCTTCCCAATCCAGGGACTGAATCTGAGTCCTGTGATGGCAGGCAGGTTCCTTTACCACTGAGCCACCAGAGAAGCCCATGTATATGAGAAAGGAATCTAAAAAAGAATCAATATATGTATATATATAACTGAATCACTGTGCATGTATGTTTGAAACTAACAACATTGTAAATGAGCTAAAAAAATTATATATAACTGAATCACTTTGCTATATGTCTGAAACTGACACAACATTGTAAATCAACTATACTTCAATTAAAAAAAAAAAATACCACCACTGTGGGAATCAGTGGCTCAGTCCCACTGGTGAACTCCAGAGACTGCATAGGGAAAAAGGAAAGAAAGAGGCTTATGGATCATCAGCTGTCCAGAAGAGACACAGCAGTAGCTAGGTGGGGAAACCACCGTGGAAGAAGCCATGAACCATCAGTTATCCACAGGGGCTTTGGCCACTGTAGATGTCCGTCCTTTGATGTCCTCGGTGAGCCCCTCTCTCTGGCAGTTTGCTGATGAGCACAGATGACTTCGAACAAACAGGTGTTGGGAATGTGTACAGTAGGACCAGACTCCACCCACAGCCTCGAGAAGACAAGGCTGCCTCTAGGCTTTCAGACAAGTTGCTCTCTCCATTCTGAGGCAAAACGACTTTTAGGTGAAGTCAGCCAGTGTTTGAAACATCTGGGTCTTTCTTATTTATGCATTCACTTGGAAAACTCGACAAGTCCCTCCTGTGTGCTGGGCACTGAGCCAGCCAGGAGCGTTGGATTGGGAAGCCACAGTCCCTATCAAGCTACTCACATGGGTGTGTGTTTCAGAACATCTTAGCTGCGTGACTAAGTGGCCAGTTATTTAACCTCTTTAAGCCTCAGTTTTCCTCGCTGTAAAATGGGAATATTAATAATTATTTTTTTCCGTTGTCACAAATTAAAGTCAATTATGTAAATCATTTTACATAGTGCTGGGCCATTGGTAAGCTCAAATAGTAGCTGTTATTATTAACTATTAATATACCTGATTTACCAATGAGTAAATAAACTCAGCACTAGGTTACCCCTCAGTTTTCTTCAGATACTCTGTTATACATCTAATAAGTAAATAAGCATCTAGTACCTAGACATATTAAATAAAACAGTGGGGACTTCTCTGGTGGTCTAATGGCTAACACTGCACTCCTAAGGCAGGGGGCCCAGGTTCGATCCTTGCTGAGGGAACGAGATCCCACATGCTGCAACTAAGACCTGGCACAGTGAAATAAAAGTGTCTTTGAAAATCAGCTATACCCCAATATAAAATAAAAATTAAATTTAAAAAGTGTAGGAAGTAATATCCTTTTAAGATGATGAGAAACTGCTTCTTGCAAAGAGCACTAGATTATTTTGAGTAGAGTGAAAAAAAGAAGCATCTGCTATTCATTATTAGTGAAAGTTGTGCTTTTTGAGTGTCTTTCTAAGGAGCATCCCTTGAGTGTGCAGTGCTATGAGTATGAGGACAAATAAGTCACGTACTTATGGAGCTCAGAGCTGGCTCCTTTCTGAGAACCCACCAAATCAGAAACCACAAAGCAGAGTCACCCCAAACTGTCAGACCCAAATTCTAAGTACCAGTTTTTCTCTGGTCCCCACGCTTGCCTCTTTTCTCTGTATGGCTGTCTCAAATGCCACATTGCCTTGTGGCATGTCATGCCGCACAAAAATGCACTTCCACTCTCAGCTCTCCTAATTGAGGTCAGATGTAAGACCCTCTGTGTTCGCCCTGAAGGAATGTTTAATTGGAATCCCATCAGACCGCAGTGTGGCACAGCGGGAGAGACAGAGGACTCCAAGAGTTTGAATTCCTCTTCCCTGGTTCTGTGACCTGGAGCTCATGACCACACCTCTCTCACCTCTCTCCTCTGAGCCTCACTTTCCTCATCTGTAAATTAAGAATTATCCTTCAGTGCTGGTTTTTGTCTTTCTGAAAGGTAAAATGAGACAAAGTATTTTGTAAAGATACTATATAAATGGTACGCCTTCTGCATATGAGTTATAATGGTAATAACATGGCTGTTCCATCCAGTTTGACTGGACCGCTTAAGAGGAAGCTTCTGTAGGTGTTCTTGCTCCTGTCAGTGCATTCCTTCAGGTGGGCCACTCCATCTTTAAAAAAGAAAAAGAAAAGGATATTTAAAATGCCAAAGTGCATTTTACAGAACATTAACCTTTCAAAATTCTCTGTAAATAAAAGAATCTGTTTTCATATACATTTGGGAAACTCTTGGCAATCTCAGGGTGCATGAAAGCATGCACAGTTCTGAGAAGTCCTAAGGAAAGAAGCCTCATTGTTATGTCTGACTCAGCACTTCCCAAGTTCATCATCTCTTTTCACATAGCATCTGCTAATAGTCAACTAAAACAGCATCCCTAAAGAATAGACTTTAGGAAATTCTTTACTAGCATAAGGATGGATACACTTAGCTTTTGATTAAAGACCACTGACCCACAGAAAATTAAATTAAGCAATGAAAAGCAACTTAACGAAAAGTATAATTGAGTTCTGAATATAACTTTTGATTTAAAGTTCTTTGCTGACCAATCTGAGAAACCAATTACTTGAATAAAATTTAAATAAACAGCAGACACTCATACAGTACTTACCATATGCCAGGCAGTTTTAAGAACTTCATATATCATTAATTGAATCCTCACAGTAAACTAAGGAGGAATTACTGGGGTTTTTTTTCCATTTTAGAAGAAGACCAGCAGAGACAAGCAGGAGATTTGCACAAAGTCATATCTGAATTCCTGCTATTGGTTTGATTCTATGACACTTTCTTTCCCTATAAGAGTGCTGTGCTGTGCTTAGTCACTCAGTTGTGTGCGATTCTTAGCCTGCCAAGCGCGTCTGTCCTTGGGGGCTTCTACAGGCAAGAAATACCAGAGTGGGTTGCCATGCCTTCCTCCAAGGGGTCTTCCCAACCCAGGGATCGAACCTAGGTTTCCCAGATTCTTTACTGTCTCAGCCACCAGGAAAGCCCCCTAAAAATGTAGTTTCCAGCATATTTTTTTCTCAATTAAAATGATGCAAGTAGTAATTTATAACATTTTCTCAAAATAAATACTAATTTGCAATGTATTCTTTTCAAAATTTAGTAATTCAATGAAACTTTTTATTTTCACACTTTCAAGGTAGTTCTGGATATAAATGAGCACCAGGACCCAGAGACCCCACAGAGGCTGAGCCTGAACTGTGTTTGAGTGTCTCCTGTGGAGGTACAGGTCAGCAGTGGACTGCTGCAGGGGCAGGGACTCTGGGTGCAGTAGACCTGGGTACAGCATAAGCCCTCTTGGAGGAGGTCGCCATTAACCCCACCATAGAACTGCCAAAACTTACACATGACTGGGGAAACAGACTCTTGGAGGGCACAAAGAAAAGCTTATAGGCACCAGGACCCAGGAGAAAGGAGCAGTGACCCTATAAGAGACAGATCCAGACTTGCCCATGAGTGTTCAGGAGTCTCCGGTGGAGGTATGGGTCAGTGATGGCCTGCTGCAGTTGGGGGCATTGAATGTAGCAGTACATGCATGGGACCATTTGAAGGAGGTCATCATTATGTTCATCACTTCCACCATAGTTTGGCCTCAGGTCAAACAACAGGGAGGGAACACAGCCCTGCCCATCAACAGAAAATTGATTTAAAGTTTTCCTGAGCACGGCCCCGCCCATCAGAACAAGACCCAGTTTCCCTCTCAGTCAGTCTCTCCCATCAGGAAGTGTCCATAAGCCTCTTATCCTTCTCTATCAGAGGGCAGACAGAATGAAATTCACAATCACAGAAAACTAACCAATTTGAACACATGGACCACAGCATTGTCTAAATCAATGAAACTTTGATCCATGCCACGTAGGGCCACTCAAGACAGACGGGTCATGGTGGAGAGATCTGACAAAACGTGGTCCATGGGAAAAGGGAATGGCAAACCACTTCAGTATTCTTGCCTTGAGAACCCCATGAACAGTATAAAAAGGCAAAAAGATAGGACACTGAAACATGAACTCCCCAGGTTGGTAGGTGCCTAATATGCTACTGGAGATCAGTGGAGAAATAACTCCAGAAAGAATGAAGAGACAGAGCCAAAGCAAAATCAACACATAGTTGTGAATGTGACAGGTGATGGAAGTAACGTCCGATGCTGTAAAAAGCAATACTGCATAGGAACCTGAAATGTTAGGTCCATGAATCAAGGCAAATTGCAAGTGGTCAAACAGGAGATGGCAAGAGTGAACATCAACATTTTAGGAATCAGAAAACTAAAATGGACTGGAATGGGTGAATTTAACTCAGATGACCACTATATCTACTACTGCAGGCAAGACTTCCATAGAAGAAATGGAGTAGCCATCATAGTCAACAAAAGAGTCCAAAATGCAGTACTTGGATGCAATCTCAAAAATGACAGAATGAACTCTGTTCATTTCCAAGCTAAACCATTTGCTATCACAGTAATCCAAATCTATGCCCCAACCAGTAATGCTGAAGACGATGAAGTTGAATGGTTCTATGAAGACCTACAAGACCTTCTAGAACTAACACCCAAAAAAGATTTCCTTTTCATTATAGGGGACTGGAATGCAAAAGTAGGAAGAGATACCTGTAGTAACAGGCAAATTTGGCGTTGGAGTACAGAATGAAGCAGGTGAAAAGCTAACAGAGTTTTGCCAAGAGA